TGGCCGCACCCTATGGGCCTATAGGTCTCCGTTTCTATAGAGCTTGGTTGGATTTCTACGCCGCTTGGGGGGAACGGGTTCCATCACATATTTTTTTCCGAATCCTATGCGGGTCGGCTCCTCGAGGAGGTGGGCGGCACAGGGTCTCCAGAGGGACCTCACCTCACACATTCCTCCAGGCGCGCGGGGGACCACCTGAAATCCGCGCGCAGCCGTGCTAGATAGATAACGACGGGCACTTATTCAGACGGATTATGTCGACAGGAATATTATTGTCTGCCACGATCTCCTGGATTTATATCCTGGCCTGATAACTTTTATCTCGCATTCCGATCACTTACTTTATGTAGCAAATATTTTTAGAAGTATTTTTAGCAGATGATACATTATACTCAACTGAAATTAATAATACTTTACTTAACTATGTATCATTGCTTGTACTCTCATGCGGAGCGCTGAGAGGCACTAGGCATGACGTCATCCAAAAGTGTGTGTAGGGGCGCGCGATGAGGTTCCCGCCCGCCGTGCCCCGTGCCCCAGCCAGACGCCCCCTCCCCCCACCCTTCTACCTCCCTCCCTCCGGCAGACTCGGCTCGCCGCTCGGCTCGAGGCGCAGCTCGTGGCTCGGCTCGGACCGTCTCGGCGCGGCGCGGTAATTCAAACTCTAACGTAACTATGAAAAGACAGAACTAAATGAATTCAGAAACATTATTTTCAAACCATGTCTCTATTGAAAAGTATCACTCGCAAACTGTCTCTACGTCCCTCTTCACACTGACTTAGTCTTAGGCCGAGTCTTAGACCCTTCAAAACATACAAAGTATAGGAGACGCAGAACACAACAAAAAACTTTTTATGCATGAATACCTAATTAAATGTGAATTAAGATTTGTAAATTATCTATATACTATACAAGTAATGCGTAACGTGATCTTCCACTGAAATATTATAGACTGGAATAATTCTTGAATTCGTATCATCTGCTTTCACGATCCGTTCCTGAACGGAACTTTTTTAAATTCATTTTTTGAGGAGGAACAAAGTCAGTTTATATAGCAAAGTTTCATTATTATTTTACTTTAAAGCCTCTGGCATATTTTCGTAAAATTTTATATTGACTGCAAAATAAAACAACGTTTTGCAGTTTCGTAACTATACGCTGGTACGCACTACCTTGTAAAAGCGGTGGACCAAGAAGGGGTCGATGTTCGCGCGGTCGCAGACAGAAGGGCGGGTGAGTCAGTCAGTCAGTAAGGCAAGGCGAGGCGGAGGGCTCACCTTGACATTTGGTGCTGCTCTGCGACAGGTGACATTGCGCGCGCGCGGCGTCCCGCGGGGCGCGGTGGCGGCGGCGGTGGTCGCGGCCGCGCGGCTAGTCTGTCCAGTCGTTACGTAACGTATTGTCAACCCGCCGCTGTTCACTCTGTTCGTCGATTCCGCGCTCCCCGTCGAGATGATCGACTTTCTCCCCGATCCGCGTGCGGCGGCGGCCGCGGACTCGGCCGCGCCGTTGTTCGGTATCGCACGCCACATCGGGGGGCTTTGGGTTGTAATCCAATCACCCGTTTATGCATAAGTAACCGCGGACCGGCGGATGCATCGCCGAACGGAACGGGCGAGGGGCGCACCTTAAAAGTATGGCGGATACGGAACTGTCCCGGCCGCATTGAGCCGCGGGCGCAATTATTTGTTGCTTTGATACCGTAGCGCAAGATTCCAATCAGTGTACCTGGTTTTCGCCGAAACAATGCATTACTTTGTTTCTTTTTACAACATTTTACGCGATCTTACTCATTCCGTATGATTACCAGGAGGTGTTGAACGCTGACGCGCCGTCCGCGGCCGACGACTCCGCCGCCCTCGCCGCCGCCGACCTGGAGATGAGGCGATTCGTCCCAAGAGGATCTTCGTCCAGGTCGACGACGGCGCCACCACCATCAGCACCGTCGCCGTCCTCTCGCGGCGACCGGGGCAGGGGGCGCGTCCAACAGACGGACGACGACGGCCCCGCGGCAGCACCGGCGCCCTCGCCGTCCTTCCCCAGCCGGTCCAGGTCGAGGGCGTCCCCTGCGGCACCCCTAGTCAGCCCGTCGACGCCGACGCCGTCCTCGAGCAGACGCCGCCCCGAGCAACAGCCACCTCAGCAGCAGGATACCGCAGACCAGGGTAGGCGCTCGTCGTCGAGGAGAAGACCGTCGTCTTCCGACGGCGTGGACGGGCGTGGAGGACGGGCCTTGTTCTCGGACCCGCCGTCGCCGCAGTCACCGCCGCCGCCGCCCCCACCGCCGCTACCAGCCACGCCGGCCCCGACCTATCGTCGGCGTGAGCCGATCCCCACGCCCGCGCCTCTCAACCCCCAGGACGCCGACGAAGAGGGCGGCCGCGCTCGCGGGGGTTTCCGTTCCCGCTCGCGGTCCCGGAGGCCGTCCGCCGTGACCTCCCTGGAACCGTCCCTGACGACGGAGGCCGCCCCTGCGGTGCGCCCGCGCCTGGACGGGGTGGCGACACGGCGGAGGCCGAGCCAGAGCCCAGCCCAGGGTGACTTGCGTCAGTACAAGGCCACCCCGCTGGAGGTAGCCACAGCTCTGCAGCCGGTGCCGCCCGCCGTCCAGAACGCCGCCACGGACAAGGTGAGCAACACTGTGAAAATATTGTGGGACCTTTCGTGTGAATAGTTTTCTTCCTCGCACCTTTAAGCAAATGACATATGCGCCCCTCGGACGCACTGCTGAACTAGCTTTAATGTAGCTTTGGGAAAAAAAAGTAAAAATTGGTCGCATGCCGTGACCAGGATTCGAACCTGGGTTATTGCGGCCACAACGCAAGGTACTAACCACTATACGATCACGGCTACGCCGACCTTGTTGCCGCCGGCCGCGGGGAGCTTCTCTTGAATGGGGACGGCAGCGCGGGCCAGAGTCTCTGGGCGCGCGGGGTAGCGCCGCACCGGCGGCCTCGTGGGTCTGTCGGCAGGGGGCATCTGCAGACAGGCGCACTTCCCTATCAGAGGATGAAGATGAGGTTTCATTTTTTTCAACACCTATTTGAAATGTTTTGGCATGACTTTTGCTCTCTCTCTTTTACAGCCTTTAGGGCGGGGAATACACAGGTTTAAGCCTCACTCCAAGGATGCTACAGCTTCCCAACACTCCGCAGAAAAGGTGCCAGCACTGACAAACATTCAGATTGATGATTCTGAGAATTATCCTCAAGAGTTCAAAGAAAAAATAAATAACAACTCTCCCACTAGATTAACAAGGGTACGTTTTTAACTAGACTATTTAATGTTTACAAACAAACTTTATTGATCTTGTTATGGCACTGAAATTTATTTGTTGTACTTGTATCTAACTTAAACATTTCTTTTCCTTGCTTAAATCTAGCTGCCAAGTTTTTCTAGTCGTACCCGACTTGTATCTGGTCCCCTTGATTCAAGCAATGAACCCAGAGTTACAACAAAGTTACGACCAGCATTATCGTCATCTATTCAAAGCTCAACAGATTTACGTTCAAGTTTGAAACCGGTAAGACTAAATCCAGCAAACCATCTCGCACCTTAACATTTAATTTTTATGAGTACTTATCAGGCTTCTTCTTCCTCATTCCCATTTAAAGAATTTAAAGTTGTTAGATCTCTAACATAATATGAAGAAGTGCCTTCTGTATTTTTTGAACAAATCAAGAGTGCTTTAATAGTTGTTTAGGTTTTGCAACACACAGCAATTTGACATTAAGCTTTTGACTCTCTACCAGTGCTACCAAATTATAAAATTCCGACAAGAAAGGACACCTATTGGTCTCCTTTCCCTGTAAAGTAACAATATTCAGTTGCTGTAACCTTTTCCTGGTACAACATTGAGGGAGGGCCGATAAAGCCAGGAGAAATTCGCGACATTTTGAAGCGAGCCGTAGGGAGGAGGCAGTATCTTGCGACCGAGGCGACCCGGCACTCACGGGAGTGAAGAGGTGGACGCGCCAAAGACAGTCGGCAGTGGTTCGCCGCGGTCGCGGTTCGTTCAACGCGACACGGCATGCCGTTGAGAGTGCGCAGGGGCACTATCTGACCAGGCGCGCACCGGGCCGGGGAGGCGGACTGCTCCGTCTCGCCCGTCGCCAGCGAAAGGGAAGGGGAGACGGGGAGAAGGGGAGGGAGAAGTTCGCGAATAATATTGGCGGCGAGCGAGCGGCCGTGCCAAACAAAGGCGCATCGCGTCCGTCCGATATTCGCAAGTGAGATTCGCAACTGTCTCTACAAACAGACCGGTCAGCGTGACTCTGACCACCAGGGCCGCACGCCGGCGAGGAGGTCGTCTGGCGGCCGG